GGGGCGGGGGTGGGGAGTGGGGCGGGGATACCGATGTGGATGGGCCCGTGGGTCCGATAACTGCCCCCCGTCCCCCCTGGTGTGTGTATCCTGATGTTCCTGTCCCCAGTGGCCGGGCAGGAATTTGGGGGGGCTGCAGTTCCCATGCTGGGGTCTCCATCTGTCCCTCGGGTTGCCGGCCCTGCTCCCCGCCGGGCCGTGGGGGGGTCAGCGAGTGGGGGGTCCTGGGGACGAAGCAGAGACGTCTCCTCAGCAACTAGGGTCTTTAGCCACCTCCCCCATCACTCCCTCCCCCCAGGGTCCTGCCTGCCCCCCACCCCCTCCCTCAACTCCCCCAGGTCACCCACCAGACACCCCCCCACTGCATTCCAGCCCCTCCCCTCCGGCTGGGGTTGCGGGGGAGGCCTGGCTCCATGGCCTGGGGGTTCCCCGCAGGACACCTGGGTTCGATCGCCGTCTCTCGCCATCTGGGGGATCAGTGGGGTCACCCGCCCCCCGGGGACACGGCAGTGGGGTGAGGGGAGCCCCCCATATGCAAGGGCACCCCGTCTCGAGTCCTCACCTCCTCCAGCTGTACGCGGCTTCGGCCAGGATCAGCACCAGGGCCAGCAGGACCCCGGCGGCCAGGGACAGACGGACGATGGCAAACGGGGGGTAATCCTGCTTTGGGGGGGCCCCTAGAGGGAGGATGGGGCAGGAGGTGAATGCACATGCTGGGCAGTGTCCCTCCAACTCCCTATGGGAGAAATGGGCCAGTCCCACCTCCACACAGTAAAGTCTTCCCCCCCCACAAATCTATAGAGAGCCAATTTGATCTGCCAGCCCAGAGACCCCCATACCTGGCCGTGTGCTGCCCGGGCGGGTGGGAGCCGGCGCTGCTCCAGGCTGAGTCGGGTCGGTTCGCCCTGCGGGACCAGAGCCAGTGTCTGTCGGGGCGGGGGGAGGGTAAAGGGGAGAAACAGCGACGTAGCAACCCCCCCCTCGCCCCGTCACTGTCATTCTCAGCGGGGGAGAGTCCGAGGAGGGGGGGATTTTAGGGGCTGGCGACGGTGCCGGCTGGGCAGCCCCTGGACCCCGACTGCTCTGTGCATCCCCAGAGCTGGGCGTCCCCCTGCTCTGCAGCTCTTCTGGGGGCAGGGATCCCCCCACCCTCTGCCCTGAATCTCCAGCAGCTGGGAACCCCCCCCAGTGACTCTGCTGGGCCAGAGCTTGGCTCTGAGCGCCCCATTGGTGCAGAGCCCCCCTGAGGGTCGGGCTGGGTGTGGGGCTGGGAGCGGGGATGCCGAGCTGGGCCCCTCACCTGCTACCACCAGCTCCACGGGGTCGCTGTGGGGGGAGCTGACGGGCGGCTCTGTCAGGCTCTCGTAGCTGCAGGTGTAGGTGCCCCCGTCCTCCCGCCGGGCGTTGGGGATGCGGAATTCGGCCGTCGAGCCGGACGGCTCCGTGTGCCACCGCGCGACCCCGGCCCGGTACATCTTGAACCGCACGCCCTGCCGCGGCCCCTGGCAGGAGATGGTGACGTCCGTCCCCGGCGCGATCTCCCCTCTGGGGCTGAGGGAGATGGAGGGCTTGGAGTAGTGCGCTGGGTTCGGGGAAAGAGAGAGAATCGGCATCAGACCCGACGTTTGAGGGGATCCTGTGGCCTTGTCCCAGCATGTCTGACGAAATGTAGGGCAGGAAGCGGTCATCTCGTCCAGCCCCCTGCGCTGGGCCTAGACCAGCCCTGTCAGGCCTGCCCAACCTGGCCTTAAAAATCCCCCCAGACGGGGACTCCACCGCCTCTCTCGGGGGCCATTCCAGAGCTGAAGTTCCCCCAGAGTTAGAAAGTTTTTCCTAATATATCTCTAGCCGTAAACTACACTAATTTCTTCTTCTCTGGCCCCTGATGGACGGGGAGAATAATAGATCACCATCCTCTGTACCAGATCAGAAGATTTATCAGGTCCCCTCTCGGTCTTCTTGTCTCCAGACTAAACGTGGTCGATTTTTTCAATCTTTCCTCGCAGGTCATGGTTCCTAACCCTCTCGTCTTCGTTCCTCTCCCCTGGACTCGCTCACATCGGGGCCCAGAACTGGGCACAACACTCCCGCTGAGACTCAACCCCCAACTTAACAACGGGTACATTAACATTAACACTGGACTAGTATTTTGAAATGTAACTGAATAATAAAAAAATAAATACCAATTCAATATGCCGATAGAGTCTGTTCTCCAGTGTCCCCCTTCCCGGCTCTGACACCGCAGAGCCTTGCCTGTGTCCCCGTTCCTGTTCCCTATTCCCGTTCCCCCCTTAGCAAACATGAGTCCAATTTCCCTTCCCTTTCCTGGTTGACCCTAGTTCATATAGCGATATTCTCAGCTATACCTTAACCAACCATGTTACTGAAATTTAACTAACCAATCCTAACCTATAGTAACATGATTCTCTAACCAATTATATCCCACTACTCTCATTAACTTACACCTAGCCAAATTAATTATACAGAGACAGAAACAATTAGAGAA